TTAATTATTAAATAAATATAAATAAATAGTTGAAATTAATTAGGTTGAACAATTCATAAATCTTGAGTAGTATTTAATTGAAGTAGATCGTGTAATATTATAATAAATTGGGAGTTATTATAAAATATTTTAATTATTTTAAGACAGTTAAGTCTTTATTGTTGAATATATTGAGAGTTTATTGGGAATTTTTATTTAAAGGCCGGAAGTAACTCCTTATATTTTGTGAATTATTTTAGACAATTGTTGTCTGTATTTGGGGGAAAATTATTTTAAAGGCCGAGAAGTAAGTCCTTGTATCTGTGGAATTTATTTAAGACATTGATGTCTATGTTGATTTTATAGGCCGTGCAGTAAGTCCTTAAGTTTTTGTGAATTATTACGACAGTTGAAGTCGAGTTATTGAATTTATATAGGCCGTGTAGTAAGTCCTTCCATGTTATATTTGTTACGACAGTTGAAGTCGAGTTATTGAATTTATTTATAGGCCGTGAAGTAAGTCCTTTTATGTTTTTAATTATTACGACAAGTGAAGTCGAGTTGATTGAATTTATTTATAGGCCGTGTGGTAAGTCCTGCGATTTGTGTATTTATTAGAAGACAGTGAGTCTATATTTTTGAATGTTATTTTATAAGGCCGAAATAAGTCCTTACGTGTTGAAAAGACTATTCTTTGATTAAAAAAAATATATAGAATTAATTCAATTAATACAGTTAGTAAGAGTTACTATTTAAGTATAGATGTCGTATGACTGGTTAATTGAATTAATGTAAAAAAAAAAATTGTTTAATAATAGGAAATAATTATACTATTATTATTTAATTGTTAGTTTAGTTAGTTATTTATTTGATATTTTATTTAGGTAGATTTAAATTAACGAAATAATTATTTACGTAAGATTAAATTATTTTACGCTAGTGTGTCAATTAAATCTTAATTCCATATTTATTTTAAATCTGATTATTTAATTTAAATTACTTGATTATGACTATTGATTAATGGGTCAAAAAGAAACCAATACTAGTTTAACAGAAAGCGAAACTGAAAGCATACAAGTAGTAGACCAGGAAGTTAGAGAAATCGTATTAATTAAATCTGATAATATTAATAAAAAGGATAGCGAATTAACTAAAGAAACAGCAGTAGTTGACGATAAGGAATTATTAATTGATTTAAGTACAGAAGAAGGCTATCAATACTCCAGAGATTTCGATAAGAAAAATATTTAGAAGCTATTAGAGAAAAGGATTTATTGATTACAAGCATACGACCGATAATAGTAAATGAAACTGAGCTACGACAGATAGGTACTCGTACGCAGAAAGGGATAGTACATACGCAGTTAGAACCCGCTAAGCGAAACAAATAAACCAAAATGCCAGGAAAAATTCCATTAGACAAAGCCACCCTCATGATTCCCACATGTACCGGCGAACGGGACAAGTACCAATTCATAAAAGCTTGCGATTTAGCATGTTCAGCAGTAGAAAAAGAAGACCTACCCATACTTACGAAATTTATTAATACCAAGCTTTTCGACCAAGCTTTAAATGTGTGTCGATATAGGGACACTAGCGATTGGGAAGGTATAAAATTAATTTTATTAGACGCATTCGAACCTCAACAATCCACTTCGTCTTTGCAGGTGGCATTAAATTCCGTACGTATGCGAGGTAATGAAGATGTAGGTGCATATGCAAGACGTGTAGAACAGTTATACTTCAATCTATGTGTAGCAAGCACAAAAAGTAAAAGTACAGAACAGGCAAATACAATCCGCGATCAGTTAGAGGAATAGACATTGGTAGTTTTTATTAAAGGGTTAATACCTAGCTTAAAGACCATCGTGAAATCTCAAAAACCACCCACTTTAGAATTAGCTATCCAGGTTGCTAAGGACGAAGAGACTGAAATTAAGTCTGAGTCAAATGCATCTCAATTTTATGGAGGTAATAGTTCAGGTAGACAAGTAAACAACTCTAACGGGGATACCAGCAATTCTAATAGGCGGAATAATAATTTTAATAACACTAATCGTTATATTATTATAATGCACCGAGTAAAGGTCCGCACACACTGCAGCGGTGGCGGTTGCCGTAAAATAAAACACGTGCGTTCTTAGAGAGTCCACACATTGCAGTGGTAAAACGGCCGCTGTAAAATATCGTGCAGCGGTAATTTCAAAAACCGCCGCATGCCCGAATTTTACCGCCACCGCCGGCGGTATTTTATATTTATTTCAATCATATATTATAGTAAAATTTTATTTTATTTTTTTATAATATATGATATGATATATTAGAGTATAAATTTATTAGTAAAACATAATTACATGTTACATTTTAAACATGTATATTTTTAAATTTTTTTTAACTATAAATATAAATCCTATGATGAGGATAGATACCTACTGTGATTCTATAACATAACTTTTGCAATATCTCAAGAAATTGATGTCGATATAGATGTGATTTTTCGAAATTGTCTGCTAAAAAGGTATAATTAAATATTTTGTCAGAACCACCATATTTTAAGATAATTAATATACATGACGTGTGTGTGTACTGTGTAGGTACTTTGTGTACACGATTTCAAACAGGTAGGTACTTTATTTGTAAATGTATTAAGGTAAAAATATTAATAGGAAATATTAAAATTAATTAAAATTCCGTCTAGACCTATTCTAAGAACACCAGTTACCTACCCACACAGCAAAATTATATTTTCAAAATATTGTGGAAATATTGTTAGTACAAATTTAAATATTTGATTTAGATTGTTACAATATTTTAAAAAATTGTCAAAATATTTTAGAAACATTTTTTGGCAGGTGATTAAACGTTTTCACAATATTATAGCAATATATTTTCAACCAACAAAATAATACTAAATATAATAACTAATTCAAGTCAAAATAGTCAAATCAAATAATAATAAGAAAATTATACTATAAGTTATAACAATTCAGCATTATTAATTAGTTAAAAAAATTTACAAATTGTTCACGTACTCGAATTGCCTCATTTGTTCCTCTTCGATTGTTAGCTTCGCTTTCCTCTAAGGCTCCAATTATTGACTGATCATCATCAAACTCTACATCTCTTAGGTCACAATTTTTTACACGTAAATAATTGTGCAATATACAAGTTGCTAATATAACTTTAATAGTTGTGTCTTCTTTTAGTTCTATAGGCCCTTTGTAAACTCTCCATTTTTTTGATAAAATGCCAAATGCGTTTTCGACAACTCGCCTAGCTCTACATAATCTGTAATTGTAAATGTCCAATCTCGTATTGTTTCTGGATTGCCTACGTGGAAATGGTTTCATTAAATATGTTTTTAATTCAAATGCTTCATCACCAATCAGAACCATGGGTGAGGTTTCTATTTGCCCAGGTAATGGTACACCTTTTGGCACATTTAATGTCCCAGCTTCCAAACGTTTACCCATTGCCGATTCTTCTAAAATTCCACCATCTGAATTTCGGCCATAACCACCAACATCGACACAAATAAATTTATAATCTGGATCAACTATTGCCATTAACACAAGCGAAAACTTTTTTAGGTAATAAAAATTTCGTGATCCACTGTTGTCTGGGCATTTAATAGTTACGTGTTTCCCGTCAATACTACCTATGCAGTTAGGAAATTGCCATTTTTCATAAAAACCACTCGATGATTCTTTCCAAATAGCCGTTGTAGGTTCTGGTAAAAACATTGGACCCATTATTTTGATAATAGCTTCACTAACTTCCACAACTATTTTACTCACAGTAGAGAAACCAACACGAAAACTGTGGCCTATGGTTGAATAAGAATCACCAGTTGCAAAAAACCTAAAATGTATCAATAATATTAGTAGATATGTATAATATGTAATATATATGTGTTATAATTAATGGTTCATTTTTAACGTAATGTGTTGAAAAACATTTTATTATTTAATTTATTCATTTTGTATAACACTATTTTATTTTCCCTTTTAATTTATTGAATATGCCTACTTTGAATCTTTTTTTTAAATTTAATTTAAAAATGTTCAATATTTTTTAGTTATTACATAACCTTTAAATTAATTATTATGGTAATAATAGGAGAGACATTAAAAATAAAGTGGAAAAATTTGAGGGATTCGTATCAAAAATATTTAAGAGCTAATGCAACTACAACTGGACAAGCTGAAGGCGCATCAAAGGGAAGACATTTGGACCAATATAAAAAATATAATTGGGCGAAGTCTTTGGAATTTATATAAGTATTTATTCTTATTTTTTTTTTTTATTAAAGTACCATTAAGACTGAATACTTGTAAAATACATGTAGTCCAATCTACATATATAAACAAAATATGTATACGGTAATCGGAAAAAAAATCCCCAAAGCAAATACTTATATTAATTGTACCTACATCTTAAAATACTCATATATAACTTGCTTTAAAATTAGAATATAATAAAGAGCCAATGATATAGCCTAAATCAGGAATGGCAAATCCATTCATTTATACTATAAATATATATTATTTTTATTTTAAATAATAAATAACATAACAATGTATATATTATATTGTACGTTTAATATGTACATATAAAATTGAATAATCGTTATTGACCGATCAATTCTCATAATATGTTCGTATTTTCGTAATTTGCCACCTCTAGCTTTAAATTTTATAAGAGGTTAATTCACTCTAGTTTTTAAACTTAATAGTGATCTGCTGAGGGTACAATTTTCTTTTTTTTTTAAATAAGTAGGTATTTTTTGTTTTTTTATATTTAAAATTACTTTAATATTTAAATATCACACTACTGTGTAAGTGTTTTTGTAAAATAATTTGAATAATTTTGAACAATAAAATAGAATTGGCATTGAATACAATTATAATGTACGTGATAACTGACGTCACAAAAAATTAATGTTCTAAAAAATGGCTTAGGTTATTTTACATTTTTTCCCACGATAAATTAACTGTTTAATTTATTATTATTAAAGTTCAATGTCAAATGTTCGAGAAAAAGTAGTTTAAGACGTGCTCAATGAAACCGAATGCAGTCGCAACGAAGAACAGTTGGATGGTAGCTTTTCAGAGACTTTACCTCCAATCAATCCTCCTGCTTCTTCAACTCAAAATAAAAGTGTGATTAGAGAAAGACAAAAAGAAAACACGGTGTCTAACATTGACAAAGTTCTTGAGCATTTAAATAAAAAACAAAAAGTCACCACTAGTGCACTTGATGCTATTTAAATGCTCATGCTTAGCCACACAAAAACAATAAAAACATTTTCTCCGAGAAGGCAAGCTACTGCGAAACAACAAATTTCTAATATTATTGGGAATTTAGAAATGAATCAAATTGATGAAAATGAAAATTACCATGGCTCCCGCTCAACTAACCAGCACATTATCCATCATGAGGACCGCGATTACCCTGCTACAACTGACCAGCACGTGGTTTACCCAACTCAAACTCAAAACACTGATGCTATTAATTTATCAGTTGAAAATTGTGCACAAACTTACACAAATCTTGGTCGTTATTCTTGGTAAACAAGTATTGTATATTTTTTATTTCTTAAACGTAATTTTATTACCATTTCTGTTATGAACAATGAACATGGGTTATATTTTATAAAATGTAGATACATCTAGTATTAATTAAATAAAGTGATTTAGAGCATTTGTATTTGTATTACCTATATATGTATACATTGGCGGATATCCATCGAAAAATTTGGGGGGCTACGATTTTTCTTATGAATCAAAGGCGTGGGTGTGGGGGCTATGCCCCCCCATTGATAATTCTCAACAAAATTTTAATTTAACATTGAAATAATTTTACTGAACAACTGAACGAAATATTTTGAATAAAATGGATGTCTAATTACTTTTTTTTATATTTAAAATTTAATATAATATAATCTTACATAACAAATAATAATATAGTTTAGGTACTGTAGAAAATAAATAGGTATTATAAAATATTTGTCTTAAATGTTTTATTTTAAAACCATCATCCTTGAGGATTTAGAAAATTCATTTAAAATACATTCAGTATCCATATTTTTTGTTACATCTTTCTCTATATGTAGAATAGACAAATTTGTAAAACGTTCTTGATACATAGAAGTTCTCACGTATATTCTCATGTATAATTGTGTCTCTTACACTATCAGCACACAAACTAATAAGTTGTTCTTGTATTGAATGACTAGTATAGTTAATAAAACTTTTAAATTTTTCAGCAAATTCAGGTATATGTTTGGAAAATACAAGTTTCAATGAAATTCCCTAAAAATTTTGTTTAAACATTAGGGACTTGGGTAAGGGCTAAGGGTAAGGAAGTCTAAACCTTATTTTTTATATTTACTGATAAAATTGTTTTGGTGTATCTACTATAAAGCAAAATGTCTTATGTCAAACGTTAAAATTATATTAAATTAAAATAAATTAAATTATATTTTTTTAAATGCACATAATAAATAATATAGATATACCTCGATTTAATGATGTCTTGCTCTCATCATAACCTCTATATGCTAAACCTTGAGAAGCTATATGTATAACTATGTCTATTAGCATTTTAACATATTTTCTGTTAGATTCAACCACCAATTTATGATTTGACATCAATTGTGTATGAACACTACTATGTGATTTCCCAGACCTATATGCAATCCATCGGGCCATAGATGTTAAATGAGCTTCAGTCCCATTATGTGCTTCTAGCTTTGTTAACTTTTTATCTTTTTTCCCTCTGGATCCGCTTAACTATGAAATTAGATATATTATTACAATTTTCATAATAATATGACTAATTAATATTTTATTAAATACTTACTTTTTTTCCAATTTCTGAATCCTATTGATGTAAATGAAGGTTCTACTGAGCCTGTCCCAAAAATTCGGCATGCATAACAAAATATGGCATCTGCAGAAACACTATATTCAACCCATTCAAATTTGTTAAAGTATGATTCACTGAAGCTCCGGTTTTGCACTCCAAACTTGCTCAAAGGAAACTATTTTTTTTTAATAAGAAAAACATTATTAAGATATTTATTTTTTCTGCATTTATAATTATAACTAATTGCAAATAATCTACTTAACGAAATTGATATACGTATTAATAACAAAAATTAATTTATTTTATTTTAAAATTTTAGTTACCTTAATTTTTGGCTGAATAGGACCTGAATTTAGGTTTCCTAAATCATCGATAGCCTGTCTGGTATTTATAGTACTGACCACATGAATGGAGCAAGACGCAGAGCTAGACGTTTCTGCCTCGACGGGCTCGACAACTTCGACGGGCTCGACAGCCTCGACGGGCAGCACTTATTTTTTTATGTTAAAAATACTAAACATATTATTTTGTTTCAAACAGTTGTTTGAAATAACAACCGACGAGTTATAACGTTATTCCCGTTTGAAAATAATCAACACGACAACACGACGTACTATGTACAATTTACAAACAAAACATTACTACAATACTACCTCTCTCAGTCTCACACAGTCACACGCAGCTACGGAAACAGGCCACTCGCCAACATAATTGACACAAAGGCGACAGTTTTGGATTTCCCTAATATTTATTTTTACACGAGAGATAAGAACACGGTGTCACGGACCACGGTACCTCAATAAACTTTTACAAATAGTTAATAACAATTTAACGGAAATCATATCATCATACAACAGTGCTATGTATGTGTTCTAAATTATTTATATACAGAGTGATCTAACGGGTGTCACCTTGTATATAATATAACGAAAATTGTCTCAACATTTTTAACTGAAATGTACAATATATATTTAAAAAAATGTTTCTTAATATTTTTTACTGAACTGTACAATATTTTTATAATATGGCAAACATTTTAGAGAGGGCTTTGAGGCTATCAGGGGGGGCTCCGCCAATGTATGTATACCAATTTAATGTATTAAATTAATTTAAATATTACCTTAGTGCAATTGCTAGTCGTTCTGAAGGAGGAATCGGCATGCGAAAGTTTGTGAAAGTTTGTTGGAATCTTAAATATTTCATCTGAAATCCAACCTAAGATTTCATCAAAACAACCTGGAATTATCCTGAAATATAAGAAAAATCGTGTTGGGTCTGCTTTTAGTTGAGGTATTAAAGTAGTATATTCTCCAAGTATGTCACGTTCCTTATTTATATTATGAACCCAGCATTTCCTTTTATGATGTCTAAAAAAAAAGTATTAATGCAATATTTTTACATTAATATTTTATTGAGACTATAGTAAATATACCTTTCGTGTTCTTCGTCTTCGATCATTGCTACTAATAGTAAGCTTTCGTCATCCGATTCTGATTCCGATAAGTACACGTCCATTTTAGTATAAAAATTTGAATAAATATATAAAAATAATATACAATGCGTAATTTACGAGTGTATCCGGTCAGACATAAATTACTAATGAAACGTCTGTGCTAAAAATCCCAAATAAGTTCTATAATTAAGTTATAAAGAAAGAAACAAGGCTGTTTCTTACTTCTTAGTTATATTTAATTTCGAGTTAGTATAATTACTTATAAAATGATAAGCTATGGAATTAAATACTATATTATACATTTATTCACCATGCATTTATGAAATGGGTACTATTATTTATTATTAGGCCATTATTAATTTTAGGAAATTGTTTTAATTAATAATTGCTTGATTGATAACAATTGTATATTTAATAAAAAAAATAAAAAAATAAAAGGCCATGATCCATCATGACTACATTTTCAAACGGTGAAGATGAAGTAACCTTTTATTTTATTTTTTTTATTAAATTTTTTCTGTCTAACCAACAGCAAACTAACCTAAGTTAACCTTTTTTTTTTTTTTGCAGTTTTGAACCGACGGCGTCGCGGGAACTGCTTTCGCATTCTTCCGCGACGCCGCCAACCTAAGTTAACCTACACGAAACTAACCTAACCTAGTGGTGGGAAGAAGGGGGGGAGGAAATATATCCGTGGAAGTATGTGAGTGTTTTTGTTGATGGTTGAGTGGTGAGCGAGTTAAAATATAATAGTGTTCGTATGCTAGTGGTTATGATTTCTGAATTCGAATATTATGACGATAATTATGTATTCTGTGATCTTAAATGAATCTCGAGTTAAAAAAATAACGTATGAAATCATCATACATGGTAATATTGAATATAGTCAATCGAAGAACCCTGATGACGAAAAAAAAAATGTAACTGCGTACATTAGACTGATTTTATTGGTGAAATGTTTCTTTTTGTTAATATTTCGAATTTTGTTAGCTATGTATTAAAATAACATAGGAAACTGTAAATAGCGAATATAGTATGTATAACGGTATATGATGATAATGATAATGATATTAATTACATGTATTTTTATTGAAATTACAACATTTATATATGAATTTAGTATGAAAATAGTTTATATTTGAATAAATGCATAATATAGATACATCTAATAAGATTTTTATATGAAAATCTGGTAATTTTTATTTACGTATCGGTCTCATTAAGATATTTTTAACAAGAACTGTATAGTTCCCATGTGCATCAAGGTATACATATTTTTATATTTTCGATCAATGTGTTTATATTTACAATCAATATGCTGATATTTACGATCAAAATGATGATATTTATGATAACTATAGAAATATAATATTTTTTATATGGATGCATCTAATAATATGATTTTTATTCGAAAAATCAGTTGATTTTTAATACGAGAATGAAGTTTGTACATAGTTTTATTTAAAATATGATATTATTATACAAATATGTGTATTAACTATCAAGGTCTGAATAGTATCTATATGTGCCGAGCAGTGCCGCAACTTGGTACATATTGGTGGGTGTGCGACCAACTAAAAGGGCCCATGTACAGAGGCACAACAATATGGGGAGGGGGGGGCAAAGAGCCCCCCCCCCGAATACGATTCAGACCCCTCCAAAAAATATTTCTTATTTATTTAGATATAAGCCACTTATAGGTTATTTTAAATTAATAGTTTTGTTAGGTGGGCCCCCCCCCAGAAATTTAATCCTAGTTGAGACCATCTTCATGCACCAATAGGTCATTACATATTGCTTGTTGTTTTTAGCTATATACATTATGTTATGTGGTTAATATAATATTCACTGCTTTATACTGCTTACAGATAGGTAGAGCTTTGAACACATATAAGTGAGGACTGAGGAGCAGTGATAGTGGCACTTAAAAACATTTATTTTCTTTCTTTTCCCAATTTAAATGCAATAAACATTTAAATTGGGAATCAGCCGTCACAACATAGCAAAATTAAGAAATTCGAGAATATTAAATTATTATTTTCATTATTTTGTTATAACTTTGGTTAGGACTTTGTTTTATTATCATAATAAATAATAATTTTTATTATTCTAATGTATTCATTACTCATTAGTTTCTATTTTTTGATAAAATAATAAGATAGAAAGAACCACTTTGTGAAACACCTTAGTAATAAAATATATTAAACATTATCTTCACGAAAACACATAATATATAATTTATAAAATTATAAATAATAAAAAAATAACAATAAAATTGATTTCATTAAATATGGGTAATTTTTAATACTATGTTTACTTTAAAAAGTTTTTTTTTCTTGCTTTTTGATTTGCAAAAGTATCAATTATGTAATCAATATTCAATTCATCTGCTCATGTTTTTTCAATGTTTAAAATGCTTATATTTGTTAGCCGTTCCTGTGAAATTGAATTTCGTAAATAATTTTTAATCAACTTAAGTTTCGAAAAAGATCGTTCTGCCGATGCAACAGTTACAGGTAAAGACAAAAAAATTATGCAGGCAGTAAGTATTTCACTAAAAAGTGATGAAATATCATTTTCTATAATATATAAAGACAATTCTTTTATTGTTTTCATTTCAGTTTTTCCTAGAAAATCTCTTAATGATAAAACTTGCCTGGTCAAATCAGACGAAACATCAGTACTATAAAATGAAATGAAGTCATAACATGACTTAATTATATTCTCTTCACTGTACTTAATTAAATTCAGTGGTTGTAAAAAGTCAAAATTTCTTGAAACTGTTTCAAGTCCTTTGAAACCCTCTTGTAATTGAAATATAGCAGTATCAGTAAGGGGCAAAAAACGGAAACGCGAAAGTTTTCTTCAATTGTGTATAATCGTTTATCATTATCAATACTATCATACTGCCTCTTTGCAAATTTCTTTCGTTTATTTTCTTGTATTATAGATATTCCCCATTTTGAACATAATTCTGTTGCTGAAGAAACCAGTTCTTCATAACTATTCCTCATTTTTTTAATTGCTTCAATACATACTTGTAAATATTCTACAGCTTGATGTAAACTAGTTTGTGGACTCTGTAAAATTTTAGAAACTACAGACAATGGTTTCAAAACTTTTTCCCATATTGTCATTAAAATTACAAATTCAAAAGATTCCATTTTTTTCTTTAGTGATACTGCAGTATTTTTTTCATCATTTTTATTACTAGTTAAAATTATATTAGTTAAAGATTTTAAAACTTGTATATAATTCACTTTAAGTGCATATACAGCAGTATCTTGCTTCCCAACGGGTGTTACAAACTTTTTTTGTTGTGATTATAGTGATTATATTATTATGGGAAATTGGGATTTATCAATAATATTTTGTAATTTCCTATAAATCTATAAATAGGAAAAATATGTTTTGTACAGTCGTTGCCAGATATATTGAGCAGGCGGCGGCGGTACTTTTCGGTGTATCCCAAACTAGTCACGGTGTGTTTTGACCGCACGGCGCACCACAATTGCGTACCCCTGGGCCCTGGGTCTTTCGTTATCGCGCCGCCGCCGCCGATGCCTGCTCAATTTATCTGGCAACGACTGTAACCATTATTTTTCTGTGCATGTATAAATTGTTCTTGGAAATGTCACTACTTATATAATACACCTAAATAAGACGTCTTGTATGGCGTGTCTTGGCGATGCGGGTTGCGATAACTGTTAAACATACTCATAAGTTAATAATATTTTATAACTTTCTATTTTTAAATAACAAATAAATATTTTAAAAGAAAAAAAGTTCCAAATAGTTCGGCCACGGGCCCGGGGCCCATTGTTATGATTTACAGGGGGCCCGGGGGTTCTTTGCACCCCTAGCACCCCCGGTTGTTGCGGCACTGGTGCCGAGGTATAAATATGTTTATATTTACAATCAAAATGATGATATTTACGACAACTATAGAAGTATAATATTGCTCATATGGATGCATCTAATATGATTTTTTATTTGAAAAATCAGTTGATTTTTAATACGAAAATGAAGTTTGTATATATTTTCATTTAAAATATTAGGTTATTATACAAATATGACGAATAAAATAAAAGCTATATTTATATCGGCATTGCAGACTGTTAAAATTACACATTTTTGTGAGATTTTTATTATTTAAGTATCGTCTTATTAAGATAGTTTTATTAATATATATAGTGCCTATGTGTTGGAGTATAAATATCTTTATATTTACGATCAGTATGTTGATATTTGCAACGAACAAAGAAATATAATAGGATGTATACCTATATAAAATCAAACTATGACTAATATTATTTAATATCTACTGGACATGGTGAGATATATCCTAACTTCTGATGGTAATATACATGCGTTTTACATTATTTATAATCAATAATTTTAATAATGTATAAAAAACTTAAAAATAAATTCCTAGTATTTTGTGTAAATTGAATGTTAAGTGATGCATATAAGATATAATTTGTATACCTACCCACATATCATGATTTATTATAATATAAGCGATCGGGTATGATATCAGTGTATATACCCTCATGTATTTAACGATAATTGGAGACAAATATACGATTTCTATGTTACATTGATGGAAAATCAAAAAAAAAATAATAGTGGGTTTATATTTAATCTGAAAATCATTGCTCTATTCTTAACCGACGTGGTATAGGTTTGAGTATTTCGAGACAGGTATAGTGATGAAAATCAGTGAAAATTGTAATGATAGTATAGGTATTATATTAAATACCTAGCTTATGAGTTTGTCTCTATGAGTACAGTTTTTATGAATATTAAAGCAAAAATAATAACTTTTAGCAAATGTATCTATGAATGTACCGGTTTTTAAAGGTAAAATATTAGTTAGGTATATATATTTTTACAATTAGATTATGATAATTGAACACATTTTTATTGGACTTATGAAATGTTTACATGTTTTAACATAATATAATGTTTGAGTCGTAAAACTTGATATAATATCAATATATTATATTATTATAATGTAGATTGAAGAGATGTAAGTCAACCATTTAGAACTGAAATGGTCTGTTATAGTGTATAGTTGCATTTAATATCTAATGCGATATGATTGATGGATTGATTTTCAAACTAGTTATATGTTATTATTGAGATTTTCGATATTTTAGACATGATCTTGACATAGAAGTGATATTTGTATAAGATTTTATCAAAATTATGATAATATTATGATTTGGGTGAAATTAAGATATTTTTATCGATTTTCACTGAAAAATCATGATTTTTTCAAATATATTACCAAACTTATGATGGCAATATATAAGTGATTTCATCATTATTTTACAAAGTATATAGAATAATACATGAAAATTATCAATAATAAGCATCTATGTAGTATATAACTGTATAAATAATAAATTTCTATTATTTTGTATAAAATATGCATTAAAAGTAATTGAAATATAATATATGGTTTTCTATATGAAATCATTAAGTGGAAAATTCTCACCGCTTGACGTAGGTATATTTTGTTTTTGTTAATAAATGATAAAGATAACTATATAATAATATGCTTTTTGTTTTTGCTAATATATGATGAAATTTAAATATGATTTTGTTTCATCTTTGAAATAAATGCGACTTTTCATCATTTCATGTAATGCTTTTAATAATATGATATTCTAGACTTTAAGCTGTATTAGAATTGTGTGATAAATATGTGTAAATAGTACATGGGTTTATCTGCTGAAAATGAAGCAATCAAAGAAGTTCATATAATATTATATTATAGTACCTATAATAATATGTATCGGCTGTTTAGACTTGTAATAACGACTCGATATAGTGGTGATCATGTATTTAGATACATTTAATAACTAAACTATATATATGCCTTTGATGGTAATTAGGCAGGGGATATGATATTTTTTATAATATTACATGATTTTAACAAATTTATGATATTTTTCCCTATTTTTTACTAAAATATTGTCATGTTTCCATATGCTTTATTGAAATTATGATATTTTTACTTATTTTAGCAAGAATTTTGTATTTACACACAGACATCTATGTTTTTATCAAAACTAATACATTTTAACGTATATTCACATTGATGAGTATATTTTTAGGTTTTAGCATAAATTCTACCTACGTATTTAATGAATAAATTAGTAAATTATATATGTATAAGTGGGATATAATAGCCGATTCGAACACACAGACCCTGCAGACCCTGCGGACCCCTGCAGACCCTGCGGACCACCGGCGGCACCTCGTTCACGTGTGCGACATGTATTTTCCCCACCACCCTTTTCCCTGCCAACATGGACTGCCGTCGCACTTCGCGTACGTGCGCGATTATTAACGCACAACATAGCTACTTGTACTTTGAAAAAATTATATATTAAAACAAAAATTGTATTTACGCACGCACATGCACTCGTCGATTCACCTGCCCGCTACGTAACCGGTGTAATTTATTAATGCATGCGCACAACAAATCTACCCCACCTGGCTATGTATAAAGGCTTCGCACGAGCCGTCGAGCATTCAGTATACGTCCGGCCTTATACGATACTTCACTCGTTGTCATACCTGGTGTTTTCTCGTTCTTTTTACATTTTTAACGTTATTTTATAAATTGTCAGTTATATTTTATAACAAGTGCGTATTTAACATGGCTGGTTCAATCGCTGATAACTTAGCTTTATACAAGAAGACCTTCAACTATGTACTACCAACACCACCAGCCGAACTTCTTGAAGCAACCAATTTCACGCTGGACTTTGTGAGTCGTAAATTTATTCAAATTGGGATTGACCCAACAAATAATTTCAAAGTCGTTTTGCTTATAATAACGCCATCGCGTTATGTTAGAATTTTACCGGACACGTTAAAGCAAATATTGAATTTTATGGGTCAAATCCTTTCGTTCATATTAGAGCAACCACAAAGGTACAAGAGAGTTACATTTTTCGGAACTGATATATTTAAACTATCTAGTATGGTGTATAGTGGCGAAAATGTGTTAGTGATCGAATCGAAAAATGTAGAAGGATGCAGAGTTCTTCTAAATCGTACAGATCTTCTTCAACTACAACGTTTAGAATATGCTATTTTTGAAGCAATCGTACGAAAAGATGTATTTACAGTCCCATTACTTTTAAAACAAATTGATCAGTTTGGTGAGTACCTTGAAGAGAGATGTTCTAGAGAAAAATCGCCACCGAAAAATATTGAAGAAAGGAAATTGTACATTAAAAATATGCAACTTGATCGGGATGATAGGATAGTGCAATCTGCTCCAAATCTTACCAGACAAATCCAGATATATGCTGTTACACAGTTGGCTGAAAATTGGGAAAATCGGAAGGCGCAAAAATCACAAGAGGTAATTAAAAAAACAAAAACATAATATTATATTCACAGAAATATTTAATAAAAATATTTTTTATTTTAGTCATGTTATGTTGATCCAAAAATACTGTCACCCAGCTGCCCACCAAAATCCATGATCTCCAGCTTACAGGACGATTCCTGTACAATACGTGACGCATTTGATAAGCCGGAGTACCAAATTCTAGCTAATGTAATAAATAAAATAATTTTTAACTAAAAAAATATTTATGTTATATTATTTAATTAATTTTCAAGCCGCTAGAACATATTGACGGTCCGCAATCACCCTCATTTCCACGGATCAACATAAGAGACGGGTTTGATTTATTCAATCGATTTGATTCACCAACCTCAGCTCACGTCAATCACCCCACTGCAGCACCATTACGTGGAGTGAAGCGTCGACTACCACAATCACCCGCAAGTCCACCACCATTTGACGCAAATGACGGCCCGGATTACTTCAATCTGATTGGTACGTCAACACCATACTTCAATCCAACTTGCACGTCAACACCATGTCAACCAACATTCACCCAATACCCAGGATCAGTACGCGATGTTTATTTTAATATTTGTTTTAATATTTATTTTAATAATTTATGTGAAATAAAAAACAAGCGTGATATTTAAAACAAGTTTTTTATTTATTAAAAAATAAGGAAATAATTATAAGGTACAAAAAAAAATTACAAGGTATAAAATATTTACAATTTTCTAACGTCGCCACTAAACGGATTATAAGTTACAATATGGTCATGTAGTATTA